CAACCATATACTTAAATATATATATTCATATTCATAAAAGTAGTTAGTTTTGTGTATGAAGAACTGAGGTCTAGATGTTAACCTGATTAGTGATTAGTGGGTTTAAAGTTCTTTTGAGTTTTAGAATGAAGAATACTGATGCCCAAAATGCAGTGACCAATTACCTCAGAATCTCTCAGGGCAGGACCTTATAGTACTATTTTTGAAAGCCCCTCAAGTTAAATTTGAGAGCAAGTGAATCAGATCCTACTAGGTCAGAGTGTAATACCAGTTATAGTATTGAATTTTTTTTTTTTGGTACCAGGAATTGAACTCACAGCCTTGTGCTTGCCAGGCAGGCGCTGTACTGCTAAACTATATCCCCAGAAATACTGATTATCTTAACCTATGCAAATGTAAGTCAGCTATTGCTATTTGCTTGTGTATACTTGAAATCTTCCCACCTCAGATTCCAGAGGGATGGGATTATGGGCATGGAGCACCACACCTGGCAAAAGAAGTGTTTAATTTGACAGGTGATACGGGGATAAAGAATCAAGCAGATGTGGCCCAGCCCCTGGCTGGTTCCCTATCCTTTTTTTTTTTTTTTCTTTTTCTTTTAAAGAGAAAAGAACAAAAACAAAACAGCACAAAAACTATAAAAATGATACAGACTTTCAAAACAAGATGACAGAAAATCAACAATGGTTGTTGTATTACTTATTGTTATCTTCAAAGTAGTTGCTCAGATTACCACATATAGGTATACAAGATTGACCAAACAGGGGCTGGGGATTTAGCTCAGTGGCACAGTGCCTGCCTGGCAAGCACAAGGTGTGAGTTCAATTCCTGGTACCAGAAAAAAAAAAAAAAAACAAGAAATGCAAAAAAAAAGGGGGGCTGGGGATTTAGCTCAGCGGCAAAGCGCCTGCCTGGCAAGTGCAAGGTTGTGAGTTCAGTTCCCGGTACCAGAAAAAAAACAAAAAAAGAAAAAAAAGAAAAAAAAAAAAGATTGACCAAACAACTAAATATTAACTGTTCCTTTCAACAAACCAATAGAAATTAGTAGTACAAATATCTGAGCTATCTTGTGTATATATACATATATTTATTTCCTTTCCATCTTTCTTAATTTCTTCCTCTTAAGAGCTAAATGGCCTGGGAACTCACAGTGGGCTTTTCCCCTACAAGGCAGAGGCCTGTTGCCCTCTTTAATCAGGGAGAAATGTTAGGGAGTCTGATTAGAGAAAACATCAACCTTTTCTCTATTTCTGCTTCATCATTAATAAGGCTGTTCTCCCTCCTGTGTCTTATTTTTCAGTTTGTTCCAAAGCTAAATAAGGAATAAGAGTGTTATCTGTTGTGTCCTTAATCCCACAAGCATCACAGTACAGTCATAAATTATAATTGTCCAAATCTTCATACTTGTGTTCTAAAGTGGAAATGTGTTATTTTTTAGGTCAGCAAACAATGATATTCTAAAATACAAGTACTTGTAAAGTACAAAAAGAATAAAGCATTATATGAAAGTCCTCTTTCCTTATTGGAATAAACAATTCTCACTTGATTATGAATAATCTTAGTCATGATCTGCAGAAGTTGGTCCTGGGCAATTTGAAGATAGATCTTCTTTATCTATAATTTATATGAGGAAAACAAAGATTAATACAACTTGTATAGTAAACTTCTAGAAAATAATTTCAATATGACATATATTTGTAATCAGCTGTGTTTGCTAGTTACTCTGCTAAACAAACTAGGAAGAGATAAAAACAATAACCAAAACCTCTTCACTTTCAAGTACAAAGTCCTTAAATACAAGTTAGCAAAGGCAGCTTGGGCAAATACATTAGAAGAGGAAGCACTTGGCTTCATTAGACATTTGTCAGGTCATTTTCATTTTATTTTCATTTCATTTCATTTCATTTTATTTCATTTCCTTTCATTTCATTTTGTCTTTTTGAGACAGGGTCTCACTATGCAGTTCAGGCTGGCCTTGAACTCACTTCGTAGCCCAGGCTGGCCTCGAACTTACAGCAATCCTCCTGCCTTAGCCTCCCAAGTGCTGGGAGTAGAGGCGTGAACTAACACGCCTAGCCTATCACTTGGCAGGTTTTAAACCAATTCTTACAATGAAAAAAAAATGAAGAGAAATTCAATACACCTGATTGTATGGTTCAGGGACAATATTTTATCTAAATGCACAAAATATTTGTTTCAAAAAAATGTAGATAAAGAATCTTTTAAAACAAAGCATGATACAATTCATCTTCCCAAATCATTTTAAAATTGGCTTTTTTAAGGGCCAGGGATATAGTTCAGCGGCACAATGCCTGCCTGACAAGTGTGAGGTCCTGAGTTTGAGTCCCAGCACCCCCAAAAATTGTTTTTTTTGAAACAACACTCAAAAATTCCTTAATACAATTCAGATAGTGCAAAGTTAAAAGGAATTCTAGTAAGGATTCAATTATTACTGTTTTTTTGTTTTTGTGGCTCTGAGGATTGAACCCAGGGAACACTGAGCTATATCCACAGCTCTTTTTATTTTGAGACTAGGTCTCATAAAATTATTCAGGCTACCCTCAAATTTACTGACCTCCTGAATGAGCCTCCAAATAGCTGGGATTATAGGGCTGTACTACCACACATGGCTCACTTATTTCTGTAGTTAGTATTTCTCTAAGACACTGGTTCCACATTGCCATTTGAATAAGAAATTTCTACTGTCTGTGGGAAATGTGACTTCTCCTAAAAATCAAAAGGCATTCATATTTAATATTTTTTAAAAGTATGAAGTATTTTCTTACCTTCATAGGCTGTTCCACACCAAATACAATACAGATGTTCTTCCCTTAGATAACTAGTCAATATTTGTAGTTTTTCCAGTACCTAGATATAAGCCACACACACGTAAGTAAGGTTCACATTGAACGGAATCTTGTTTTGCCTCTTAGATCATGTTCAATTAGCCCCAGGCTGTACCTTTTCTGCTATACTCTTGGTGATTAGAAGCATCAAGGCCAGAAATAATACATTTGAGCATGTCCCAGTTTACTAGCCACCCTGAAATTTTCAAAAGTCTGCCAGACACATTACAGACCCTGGTTAACATTGAAAAAAATCATTTTTGGCTGACTCTATGATAATCAGCATCCTTTAGAGACCCCTTCTACTTTCAAGACATCTACCCCTCTTTGCCCAAGATGGGGTAAAGGTGAGCACTATCTCATTCTGCTCTAAAGATTCTCACAGTTAAGTGGTACTTAGGCTTTTCAAGCTATTCTTTCTGAAATTCTTATATGCAAGTAACCACAGGGATGTATCTTCCTTTCTTGAATAATCTCCACTTCCTTTTGACTGTTTTCTGGGGTTATGACTGAGGGAAACAAGTACACATTAGAATCACTTCCAGGAGTTTAGCAGAAGACAGGGTATACAGTAATTTACATTTGCAGCTCACTCATCAAGCTGAAGATGGAAAGGCAAACCAAAACTAAATGGAAAAATTACATGAAGTTTTGATATGGGGTTAATAAAAAATCCTGTGAGCTCCCCTCAACCAGGGTTACTTTTGTCCTCAGGGGACAGTCAGCAATAACTACAAACACTGTTGGTTGACATAAGGGGAGGTATAAGTGAAACCAGAGGGTAGAAGCCAGGGATGCTGGTAAACATCTGAAACGCACAGGGCAGCCGCACACAATAAAGAATTACCCAGCTCAAAGCATTAATTGTGTCAAGGACGAAGACACCTGCTACGAAGGAAAAAGCACCAAGACATACACTTAAATCTTCACTCTTATATTCATCTTCATCCTCTTCTTTTTCCTCTTCCTCCTCTTCAGTTTCCTCTTCAGGCCTCAACCAGTACCATGCCTCTCTGGGAACCTGAATATTCTGAAAATGAAGAACTATTCTCATGAAATATAGCTAATTATAAGACTATCACAAGTAGAACAAGTGTGTTCAAGCCGACATGAACTCATTTTTTTTTCTGGCAGTACTGGAGATTGATCTCAGGGCCTTTACATGGTGCTACATCCCCAGCCTTTTTCAAAAAATCATTTAGTGTCTTTCTATGTTGCTAAATTGCCCCAGATGGGCTTGAATTTATGATTATTCTGGCTCAGATGCTAAGAGTTCTGGAATTACAGGAATTTACCACCATGCCCTGCTCATTCTTTTTTTCAATTTGTTCTTTCAATAAATGTAAGTACTTACTGAGTGCTGCTTTAGGAGTGAAGCACTATACCGTGAATTATGGGGATGCAAAGTCCAATTAGTATGTTCTCTCTATGTTTCTGCTAATGGTCCAGTAGGAAAGATATACTATAGATATAAATACATAGAAATTAGGAAATCATAAGTATCAGGAAATATTCAAAATATTTCTCCTACGGAGATGCAGCAAAGTAAGACTGCTTTCAGCAATCTATTTACATTAGGAGGAAACTTGGGAAATTATACCGACATTTTTGAGATGTTAAATGAAGTCATTTTATTTTTGTTATATAAAACCACCAAGAGGGCTGGGGATGTAGCTCAGCGGCACAAGCGCCTGCCTAGCAAGTGCAAGGTCCTGAGTTCGATTCCTGGTACCAAAAAAAAAAAAAAACAAAAACCAAAAAAAACCCAAAAAACCCACGAAGATAGACTTTTTATGCCATTCAAATCTGAAATAGACAGGATTCTACACACTAGAAACATGTAATGTACTGAATATGGATGAAAGCAGGCTCTTCTAGCTAATCATATACTATGAAGAACAGAATTTCTAGTCAGGTAATCAAAATTCAAATTAGCGGAGAACAAGTTGCTTAACTTTTATTGGCTAATTCAGATAACTCAAGTTCCTGCAATAAAGCAGCTATTAGTGTATTTATTATCACAAATCAGTAGTGAATACTAACTAAAGCTTGAAAGGATAAAAAGATAAACCAGGCTTGTAGTTTTTTTTTCCCTTGCAGTACTGGGATTGAACCCAGGGCTTTCACAATGAGCTATATCCCAAGCCTTTTCCATTTTTTATTTTGAGATAGGCTCTCAGTAATTAATTTGCTGAATTGCCCAGGCTGAGCTTGAATTTGCATTCTTCCTGCCTTACCCGCCCACAGTGCTGGCATTACAGGTGTGAATCACCATACCCAGCTGAGGCTGAGTTCTTTCTTCCTTTTTTTTTTTTGGTTTTTTTCTGGTACTGGGAATCGAACTCACGACCTCAAGTTTGCCAGGCAGGCGCTGTGCCGCTGAGCTATATCCCCAGCCCTGAGTTCTTTTTTCTTTAAATAAAATATGTGGCAAATCATACTGTGTGGCAAAACACTTTTTCACACTGAAAGCAAGTAACAGCTTACCTTCTGGGTATCCAATTGTTGACAGGCTCGCTGGCTTCTTTTAAGATCTCCTTCAAGCTTCATTTCATCTTGCTTATTTTTAAGTCGCATCCTAATTGAAAGTGAAAAAGTATAGTAGCATCTATATTCTCTTTATCTGTTGCTTATAACCTCTTATTATATATACCTCTTTAACGATTTTATATTCCCCAATACCAGAGAACATACCATGGTAAAGAGGATTTGAAACCAAAAACAGTTCAAATACAAAGTTTTACCGAAACTGTACTGCAGCTTTCTCTTCGGCTTGGTTTTTCATGTGAATCTTTCTTCTATAGCTTTCTAATTTTTCTTCTGCTTTCCGTTTTAATAATGCCTCATGACCAATGCCACTTTTCCCTGTTCAAACAAAAAATTCTGATGAGGAGTTTACTTTTTTGACAATTTAAATATGGCCAATTAAATGCAATTGTCATTTGAATACAGTTAATTGCACTAGAATGACAGATGAAAGCACTAAAGCCCTTGGTTTTATTTTCAAGGTTCAAACTTTTGTTTTCAAAGTCTAAACACAAAATCTTAATTTTACAAAGATCAGAAGTTTCATCTTCTAAGACAGTAACACTGAACACATTTTAAAAATCAGAAAAATAGGGCTGGGGATTTAGCTCAGCGGAAAAAGCGCCTGCCTGGCAAGCGCAAGGTCGTGAGTTCCGTTCCCGGTACCGGAGAAAAACAAAAACAAAAACAAAAACAAAAACAAAAACAAAAAAAAATCAGAAAAGTAGTATCGAGTGCCGTACTAAGAATGGTGAATAAGATACATATCTTTTTCTCTTAAGTTCACCCAAACCATTAAGAAAAACATTTCAGGGCTAAAACTGTCTTAGAATACATTTAGGACATTTCAATGGATAAAAATAAAATTAGTATTGCACCTGCAGTGGTTATGATTTTCCTCTACATTTTCATTATTTAGATTTTATTGTATATTAAAACTAGCTTTTTTTTTTTTGAGAAAGGGTCTTGCTACTAGTTCAGGTTGACCTTAAACTCACTTTGTAGCCTAGGATGGCCTCCAATTCGAGGCAATCCTCCTGCTTCAGCTTTCCCTGGGATTATAGGCATACGCCATCATGGCCAGCTCTTAAAATTTACTTTTATTGCACTAAAACTTTTCCTTATTTTCTCTACAAAATAAAACCTTCTAAAGGTTTTAGAGTTTAACAAACATTTTACTAAGGGCTTCCTATGATAAGAACTATTAACAGTATCATCTTTAGAAAGTATTAAGCAAATATTTGTCGTAGATTTAAGCATAAGTTATTACTACTGCGAAATATACTAAAGAATAATTATATACCTGTTTTGACGTTAAGAGGAATTGGTTCAATAATACCACCTCCTAAAAAAGAGCAAAAACATAAACTGGAAATTCTATCTCAAAACCTTCAGGTCTGTACAGTATGTGATTTTACAATGGTTTATACATACCCCTCCTTCCCCCAGTTTCAGTGATATTCCACACTAAAAACTGAAAATTAATACTCTCTATGTAATCAATTACCTCCCTTTCCTACAAATACCTAGTGATCAATAAGGCTGATGCATAGTCTCTTAGGCCACTTTCCCAAGTGACAGTACTGACATAACAGGTCCATGAGGGTAACAGCCTCAAGAGAAAGCAAAGCCTTGGTATGTGAAAATGAAAGCAATTACAATCGAAGAGAAAAGATGTACAGCTCACAGACGTTACTATAAATATACTGCCTCTGCTTCTTAATAAGCATTTCACTTCCCAATAGAAGTGTGAATAGAGTTTCTCTGGGTGGACACAGAGACAGCTGCCACAGGTACAGAGTAAGCAGGACAGAGCCCCGCCACCATCCTCAGTGCTGTTTCATTGTCCTTTGGCCACTGTATCTCTTAAGCCTTTGTCACCATTCTTCGCTGCCTCCACTGTAGCCATGTCCATCCCAGCTGTTAGTGCCTTTAAGGCTGAGCTGGGCTGATAAGCAGCTGTATGTATGTACATATACATGTACTGGGGGCTGAACTGAAGGCCTTGCACATACAAGGCCAGTGCTCTACCACGGAGCTACATTCCTACATTCCCAGTCTTTTTTATATTTTATTTTGAAACAGGGTCTGGCTAAGTTGCCCAGGCTAGTCTCAAGCTGTGACCATCCTGCTTCAGCCTTGATGGGAATTACTGATGCATGCCTGCAGGCCCTGTAAAAAGCAGCTGTTAAGGGTATAAGTGATATCTAAAATGGATGTGCAAAAATGGAAGTCCTCTATAAGGCTTGTCAGCACATAAGAGACAAGGAAGCTTAAGTTCTTTTAGTTTTTTGTAGAAGAACACATATTAAATTGTCATCTGTGGTCCTCATCAATACATCACATCTGGGTGGTTAGGAATGCCTATTTCTGAATGCAACTTACCACTCTTGCCTAGAGCTTGACCACTTTTATAGCCCATCTTCTGAAGCAAAGCAAACCCTTTGTTTTCACAGCCTAGTGCATTTTTCAACCCAGTGTCACGCCTTTCTTGTTCCTCTTCTTTTAAGCTCTTCTGTCTATTTTTCAAATTAGCTTCCTGTTGCTTTTCTTCTTTTCGACGGGCTTCTCGGATTTGCCTCAGCATTGGCAATCCTGGTCTGATATCTTCTCTGAACGATAAAAGAAATGGTTATCTTAGGTAAGTACATAAAGTTATAGCTTTGCCACTTAGTTAGCACTAATCGCTATTTCAGTATTTCTGTGGAAGAACAAAAAAGGATCAAGGCCGTAAGTATAATGTTAGCAGAAAAAGGGAAGAAGGGGCTACTACTCTTTTTGTATAAACAAATAGGAAGTGTTTACAAAAAGGAGTAAGACTAACTTTCCAACTCCACATTTAAAAATCAATGTTATTGCTAGTAGGAATGTAAACTAGTACGACCACTATGTAAATGAGGATGGAGATTCTTCAAAAAACTATAAGCCAGGCTTGGTGGTGCACGTCTATAATCGCAACACTCAGGAGGCTGAGGCAGTAAGATCACCTTGAGGCCAGCCTGAGCTACATAGTGAGTCTAAGGCCAGCCTGAACTACATAGTGAAACTCTTTCTCAAAAAAAAAACCCAAAAACCAAAGAAAAGAAAAGAACAACTAAAAATAGAAATTCCATCTGATCTAGCTATTCCTTTTCCAGGAAACTTTCCAAGAGATATATTACATGCAAATCAATGTTTCATAGTAGCAAAATTCATAATAGTTAAATCTTGGAGGCAGCCTATAGTCCATAAACAGATGACTGGATAAAGAAAATGTGGTATTTATACATAATGAAATATGTATAAATTATAGCCAAGAGCTTGGCTATAAAGCAGGATAAATGTGAGACATTTGCAGGAAAATGAATGCAACTTGAAAATAATGTTAAGCGAAATAAGTTGGGCATATAAACTTAAATAGCTTGTTTTCTTTCATATGAAAAATCCAAAGTGTAAATGACATATACAGCAGAATGAAAGGCAGATGTGATGAAACAGAAAGACAGGGGCTGGGGATTTAGTTCAGCAGCACAGTGCCTGCCTGCTAAGCACAAGGTCGTGGGTTCGATTCCTGGTACCAGAAGAAAAAAAAAAAAAAAAGGAAACAGGAAGACAGATGTTTCGCAAATGGGAAGGGGAACATGAGATGGAAGACTGGGGAGGGAGATGTGGGAAGAATTGGGATGTGTTGTGCGCATGTACAAACCACCTACAATGCATGTAATCTAGAGACGGGGGTGGGGAAGGGGAGTAAAAAGAATTAAGAAGTGTTAAGTACTTGTACCTACTCCCTACGGTGAATGTAAGCATTATACACCGCAAACATGTACTAATACAGAAAAAATCCAAAATCAGTGTCATTACTTCATAGTCAATGCATATTTCATGCATATTATCACACTACGTATGCACTTCTACTTACTGGACATTAACGAAGGAATCAGACATATAGTCCTCTTCTTCTGCCATGTTCAACTTCATATGGCAATACTATCTATAAATCCAATCAGAAACAAAATCACAATTTTCTTTGGTATACCACAGTGAAAATAAACCTTTATTTATTCCTAGGCATCAGCTTTCCCCAGAGCACTACTCTGTATTCAAGTGCCTTCTGGACATCTTCATTTGTGATGCTCTCAAGCTCAATAGTTGAAACAATTCATCTTTCTTCTGAAACTTCTTCAATCCCCTGTATTTCCACATTAATGTCACCACCACTTCTCCCTTTCTGACCGCTTATAGACCTTTGTCAATTCTTCCTCCATAGTATTTCTCACAGATAATTCTTCCCATAGGTGTGATGACTACAGACTTTTTTCTCACATTATAACAGCCTCTTACCAGGACTTACTGGCCTTTGGCCTTTCCTCTTCTGTATGCCCACCAAAGTGTTTTTGGTTTTGTTCTTCTGAATACAAGTCAGGTCAGGTCACTTCTCTGTTTCAAACCTTTCAGTAAACTTGGTAGTGGAGGACTGGTTACATTAGCAAAGTATGAGGTGTTGTTCTTTATAATCTGATCTGACGCTCCTTTAGGGTATTATTCAAGCCATACGGGCTGTTCATTATCCTCTGAACATACCACAGACATTTCCTTCCTCCTAGGCCCAAGTTTTTCACAAAAAAAACTGTCTTGACCACTCCAGACCTTTCTCTAATGCACTTTATCTTTAAAGTTGCTCATGTGGAACTTGATCTATTGATTGATAAATAATAGAATCCTTTTTTCCCCTATGTCAACGTATCTTTTAAAAAGTTTTAAAACAAATATTTCATAAATACAAAAAAAAAAACCCACGTAAAGCAATGTTTTCTGGTGCAAACACTTAGCATCATGCAATATCCTCCAAGATAGCCCCCAGCAATACCGCATCTTGGATTTTTAACATCTGTGCACAGTCTCCTCCCTGAATGAACAGGATTGACCTGCATAATCAATAGGACTTTGTGGAAATGATGGAGTTATGGTTTATAGCTGGATGTCCCCCCAAATGTCTCATGTGTCTCATGTCCACTGATGAGTTTATAGGTAAATGATTTGGGAGGTGAAGCCTAGTTGCAGGAGGTGGGTCACTGGGTGCATGTCCTAGAAGGGCCTATCTCCTCTCCTCCTTTGATACCTCTCACTACTTCCTGCCTGTCATGCCATGGGCTGGTTTTCCTTTGTCAAACCCTCTGCCACGCTGTCCTGCCTTGGAGCCAGCTGAGCCCTATGGACTGAAATATGTACAAACCATAAGTCAAAATAAAATAGTTTCTTCTTTAAACTATAGGTGTTAAGTATTGTTTCTCAGCAACGAGGAAACAACTAAGATAAAATGTGACTTTTTGGTTAGAACAGACACTGTAGGTCTTGGTTAGATTACTCTATGACGTTGGTTAATGATTTATTTGAAGGAAATCAACTGTTGTATAATGAGGATACACAATAAGTTTTATAGAGAAGTCTGTTTTGGAGGAACTGAGGTCTCCAGTCAACAGCCAGCACAAATTTGTGAGCCCTATGAGTGAACAACTTTGGAAATATTTTTCTACTCCCAGTCAAGCTTTCAGATGACTCAGAGGTGGCTAACAACTTCATTATAGCTTCTTAAGAAAATCTAAGCTATGCTAAGGTGTTAACAAATTCCTGACTCACAGAAACAACAGGTATCTTAGGCTGCTCAATTCTGCTACAATTTGTTAGCAAAATATAGTATTGCTAGAATCAGAAGATAGAACCTCTCAGCCTCCTGGGAGTCCTCTTTGTCTGTACCTAACTGCATCCTTCTTCAGTTAGTCACTGTTGCGTCTTCTATGGTCATCATTTTCTTCCTTGTCTTTATTGTTTCATTTTCCACGTGTGCCGCCTTAAACAATAGTTTAGCCCCACCTATTTAAAATGATCAGTTTAAAATGTGTGTGACTTTATACAGTAGTTTTGGTAATTCAACCAGATTCTTCTTGTACAACGACAGTATTTTTACACATAATGGTCAGTACTATTCAGTTTATGAGCAACTCAAGAGGGAACGAATAATTCCACTTTCCAGTTGGAGAAATTAAGACTCCTGGCTAAAGAACGCGCTCACAGCCACAAAGAATACAAGTCTCTGTGATCTCAGGACTGAAAACACAACTGCGTTATTATCTGAAGACCTGCAGCTTGAACCCAGGGTCTCAGGTGTGCTATGCAAGCGCTCTGCTGCGAGCTACACTCTCAGCCCACAATTAGATTCTCTGTAAGGGACCCACCTCACTCTAGATTGCAAGGCAGAACCGAGTGAGGCTTACGTTTTCTTCTTAAAGCTCTCTTCCTATTGGAACAATATATTCTAGCACTAGCCGTTCCTATAAGACATCAATATAAAATTTACCAGGTGATAATCTTGGCAGACACGATGGGGCGTGGATTATCACTTGGAGGGACAGCAGTTGAAGTGGATTCTGGGTATACAGTACTTGAAAGTGGATCGTACAGGAATCGACTGATTGGAGATGGCGTGAGAAAAATATTCTCCATGGCATATTATCTTCTGTTGTGTGTTAGACCCCCAAATAATACAGTATACACCAATTTACTCCTAGAAGACTGGAATTAATTTTTGAGTTGGAAAACTATAGGTGCGGTTTTTTTGTTGTTGTTTGGACAGAGAAGAGGCGGGGTGTGGCAGCAAGGGTACTGTTTCAAACACATTCAGTTTCACGACACAGCCAAGGGTGGAGATGGACTAAGTACTGCAACGGGATATACAGTAGAAAAATGACAAGAAGCACCTCACGCCCACGCACGCCCTTCAGATGCCGCTGGCCCCTTCCCTCAAGCGTTCCTCGCGGCTGCAAGCATCCCACAAACGCGCGCACCAACGGATGGGAATGTGGCTGATGCAGTGATGGATGGTCACAGCCATTGCGCCCTTCACCATTTCTCACCCTGTCTGCGGACCCTACCTGACAGAGGTAGTCGGCCAGATCCAGGTCTAGGGAGCGCGCACTGCGCATGCGCTGCGAACCTCTCCTCGCCCCGCGTTTCCCAGCGCCGACTCAATCGGAAACTGTCGGGAGGCGGAACTAGGAGGATGTGATGAATGCGCTTGCGCAGGATCAGGGTCTCGCGCACGCGCTCTCCCCACGTTTCCTGGCGCGAGATTGCGGGAGGCGGGGCATCCGGGTCCCTGGGCGGCTGTCTGCGTTCGCCGCTCAGCTGATCGGCCCCTGACGGACTCGGAGGTGAGGTCGTCCCGTTCACCGCCACAGAGTGTAATTTGACACAGTCACACGCTCCCATCCTCCCGGACGGTTTCAAATAGGTGGGAAGCAAATTTGAATTCGTAATGAGCATTTTCTTTTCTGGCCCGTGGTCGGTTGCGATCCGTCACCTCCTGGGGTTGACGGTCGGGAGAACCCCGCGACGTGGGGCTGACAGCTTGGGGAGGCCCGCGACAGCGTCTTGCATCCCTCCCTCGCCCCGGGCCCGGCCTAGCTCTGAGGTCCTCGGAGCACCCGGGTGAACCAGGTCCCCGCGCGCGCGAGGCCTCTGTCACCTGCGTCCTCGACTGCGGGTGTTGCCACGCACGCCCAGGCTGTGCGGACCTCATCCCGCGAGGAAACCTGGGAGGCTTGCAGTTTGGGGTCTATGCTGGGCCAGGTTGCAGCAGGGAAGGGGTGAGGAAGCTGCTCTACCCGGAGAGGTGGAGGGGGGGTGAGGGGCGGGGAGAATGGATTGTAAGGCTCGCTGAGGGGCTTGGTCTTAATGTTTGTTTTTGCATGTATAGATTGGGTTAATGACCTCTTTTTTGCTGGTTTTTTTTGTTTGTTTGTTTTTTGTTTTTGTCTTTCTGAGACAAAGACGCTATGCAGTTTAGGCTGGCCTTGAGCTCACTTTATAGCCCAGGCTGGTCTTGAACTCGAAAGGATCCTCCTGTCTCAGCCTCCCAAGTGCTGGGATTACAGGCATGCGCCACCACGCCCGGCCTCTGGGCATATTGCTTTAGGCATAATGCCTTTTTTGAAATAATTTATTTTATTTTTCCTTTCACTTCATTGTTCGTTCTTTCTTACCAAGCATGCTTTTGTTTTTATTTGTACCTTGGTCCTTTCAAAGTTAGTTCTCAGGTTATGTTGCAAAGGAGTTACGTTTTTCTTCCCCCAAAATGAAATGAAAAACTATACATTTCCTTTCTTAGTGGTTGCCATTTATTAAGCTTGGCTTTTAACATTAAAACATCCTTACACATATTTTTTGATCTGTTAATTTAAGGTGTGAATTAAAAACTTCAGTAATGGAGTTAGCCCACAGTTTATTGCTAAATGAAGAAGCTTTGGCTCAAATCACCGAAGCGAAGAGACCAGTTTTTATCTTTGAATGGTTGCGATTTCTTGATAAAGTTTTGGTTGCCGCCAACAAGGTATGGTATTGCTGTTTTTCCAACTGGGTTGATATCAAGAGATTTAAGAAAAACCTTCCTAAGGAAGGTTGTGGGTCATTTCTGGAGCTTGACAGTATTACGCTAATGAGAATTTCAAGCTTTTCTTTGTTCTGTTCTGTGGAAAAGCCCAGATTTGTTTAAACCCAGCTCATTGCCTACTTTTTGTATCTTCCAAGGCAGCAGCTCTGTGTTACTGAAGAAAGACAGTAGTGTATGACTAGTGTCATTCCAAAGTCGTTTTCAACAACTGCAAGGTCTTGGTGCTCTCTGGCAAGCCTAATATCTTCTTCACCTATCTTTCTGGAGAGTGAATAGTAGGCTTCTATTGTTTGTCTTTTGTTCTTCCTACATTGTCCCTTTGATTCAAGTTCATTGTTTTGCGTGTTTTATTTTCTGTCTTTAAAATTAGATGCTTTTCTCAAATGACTCCTCTTTCTGTGGTAATATTTAAGAGTGAGTCATAAAATATCTTCTGGGCAGGATATATATACATGCTAGGCAAGCACACTACCACTGAGCTACATTCCCAGCCCACTGGGCAGGGTGAATCTTAACCCGATTTCACTGTACACTAGTTTCTTTCCTAACTCGAATATCTTTGGCTTCTGCAGGCCAGTGATGGCAAACCTTTTAGAATGTTTAATAATAATAAACAGCCTGCTGTAGCACATGAGCCATAGGTTCATCACCACTGCCCTAGGGCTGGTTATTCCTGCAGGAGAGACTTTTCTACTCTAGTGTTTGAAGGATATATGGTTAGTTGTGTAGGCTCTAGGAATGGGGGGTGCTGAGGACTTCACCCTTCAATATGTAAACTTTCACTTAATATCCCTGTTTCAATGTAGATGTCTTTAATAGCTATGTCTGGGTCTCCTAGTCTAGAGATATGCTATTTTAGTCTTTGCAGAGAATAAGCCTTCAGTCTGGAAGGGAGAGAGATACGAAGTCTTACAGCTTCTGAAGCAGACTCAACACATTTCTGGGAACAACTACTGCCACCTCTGGAGGCACCGAGGATTTCTAAAAAACATGAACTCTTAGGGTGCCTATCTCAGATTGAATTTCTTTTTGGCTTTCCCTGATGGGAACACTTGACTTTCATATTTCATGTTCATCTCTTTGCTTTTGTGGAGCTGTACTTTTTGTATGTTTGCCCATCAGTTTTAATGGAGTTTCTAGAGGCACTTAATGCATGGATTCACTTCTACTTTTTAGCTAGAAATTTCTATTTTTCTTTAGCTAGAAATTTCTATTTTTAGCTAGAAATTTCTATTTCTATTTTTCTTTAGCTAGAAATTTCTATTTTTGCACCCCCTGCAACTGAGCTTTTGTTGCCTCACCTCCACTGAAAAAGCTCTTGTCCAGCAATCACAGATCTCTAATTGTCCAAAATGATGGACAGTATTCTGTCTTATTTGAGCCACCCCTATCTTTTGACATAGCTGATCTACCACCTCAGAATATTTAAAACATTATTTTGTTGCAAAATTGATAAGTACAGAAACATAAAATATCTAAATTATAAGGCATTATCCATCCATCAAAATTATAAGATTTTCACTTTGCATACTTTTATGTAAAATTCTTCCTATTAGTGGCTTCCTAAGATGCTACTTGCTTTTAATTCCCTCCTACTTCACTTACTTCTCTTTTGCTGGCCCTTCCTCTGTCTTGAATTTTTTTTCTCTCTCTCCTCATTCCTTTCATGAGAATGTCTGAAATGATCGTAATGATTTCTACTAGCATCTCTGTGATAAGGACTCTCAGATAGCCAACTGACTACCCCTTTCTTATCTAAATAGCATCTTAGGGTAAATATCTGAACCAAATTCTAGATTCCTTCTCCTAAACCTACCTTTTTTGCAGTGTTCTTCATCTCACGAAATATTTCATCCTTCTGGTTGCCCAGGCCCCAAAACTTGTAGTCATTCTGTACTTTCGTCTTTTTTCAGATCTTGTTTGCCAATAAATCTTATGATTTTTATCTGCACATACACCCAGAATATACACATCTTCCTCATTTATATCTCTAACATCTCTCATTTGGATTCTACAACAGCTTCTTAAGTGCTCACTGTGCTTCCATCCATGTATTGTACAATGTATTCTCAGCTTGGTAGTCAGAATGAGTCTGCTAAAACATTTAGATCATGACTCACCCCTGCTTAAAATTCTTACTCAGCATAAAATACAAAATTTACAGTGGTGTTTATGACACTATACAGTTTTCCCCTTTGTGGTCCCCTCCACCTGAGGTGGCCTTCTTACTGCCTTCAGGTATGCTAAGCATACTCTACCTCAAAGTCTTTGTACTTCTTCTGTCCTTTGTGTGGCATGTTCTTTTCCCAGATGTCTGCATAGCTCATCCTTTACTTTTCAGAGAGGTCTTTAGTAACTAACCTACATATAACAGGAAGCAAACCAGAGGTGGTGATGCATGGCTATAACCCCAGCATCTGTGAGGCTGAGGCAGGATGATTCCAAATTTAAGCCCAGGCTGGGAACTTAGTGACTTAGTGAGACCCTGCCTCATTAACAGCAATGAAAAAGTAATGAAGAGCTGAGGATGTAGCTCAGTGCAGTATTACTCCCCCCCCCCAAAAAAGGTAAGTAATTATACTTATTTGTTTATTTGGCAAACTCTATCCCTCCCCACTAAAATGTAAACTTCATGAGTGTAGGAACTTTGATTTATTCACTATTGGCCTAGTGCCCAGAATGGTGCATGGAGTGCAATAAATACACAGTATTTCTTGAACAAATCAGTTCTAGATATTGATTATAAGTAGATCTGAGTGTTGTGTTGTTGCCTAGGGCTGTTCAGCTTATTTTGGTTTTTGGTCACTTACCTATAACTTTATGAACTCCTGACTTCTTTTACAGGGAAAACATGTCTGGATTTTAAAGCATCAGTTAACCATATACCCAGTATTTTGAATTCTTTGTTGGCTTATTTAGTAGTAAGCTGGCCTAGAAAGTTTTGGATAGAATTACTTCTATGGAAAATGGAAACTAACTTTTGGGCATTGGAGGGGAATAAAGATTTATGTTTGGAAGGAACAGATCATTTCTTAGTGAACTTTTTAATATGAAAGTTCTCATTTATGGTTTATGTTTACTGTAAAGTATATTTTAATTATTAGAGTACCTTAAATGTGAAATATTTTAAAATTCTGATTAAAAAGTAACAAAAGGAATATGATGATAAGAAATATGATGATACTCTTTTTATTTTTTATAACAGACTGATGTAAAAGAAAAACAGAAAAAACTGGTTGAACAGTTAACTGGATTAATAAGTAGTTCACCTGGACCACCTACACGAAAATTATTAGCTAAAAATCTTGCAGCCCTATATAGCATTGGCGATACTTTTACTGTTTTTCAAACACTTGATAAATGTAATGACATTATCAGAAATAAAGATGATACTGCAGCCTACTTACCAACAAAACTGTAAGTACTTACTTTGACAGGAACCCTTGAAGTTTTATTTGTTCTTACAAGATAACTTAGTAAGGGACTACGAACTATAAAGACCCACAGATGGCCGGAACCTGAGGTTTGTTGCCGACGATGAAAATTCTAAGTAGATTTGGGGAAGACTCTACTTCCATTTATTGATCACCACTGGGAC